CTGCATGTGCCCTAAGGCGTGCTCGGCAGCGATGCGGAGCTGACGAAATCCGATGGTGTCTCTGTTTTAAACACATCTCTGACTTCCCATCGCTCACAGGACCTTCGAGCTCATTCGTCCTGATAAAAAAAGCCCTCTGTGGTCCAGTCCGTGTGGGCAGTGACAACCTCATCCCCTTCTGTTCCATGGTGGCCTGCGGTGCGTCCAAAAAACCCTGATAATTCACTCCTCCAAGTGTTTGCCCGCCGTGTTTCCCGTGCTCAGAGACCCTTCTCTCCCTTGTCCACAGGGCACCATCTCTCCCTGACACTCCGGCCACCAGGTAGCTGCTCCCTGTAGCTTTTTTTTCCCTTCTTCTCTCTCGGAGTTATCCCCTCTCCCACACTCTTTTGGTCCTGTCTGTCTCCCGTATTTCTTAGGTTTCACTTGTTTTCCTGTGTCATATTTTGTTTCCTCACCCATCTTCCTCCACTATTGGACTGTGAGAGCCTTGTGAGCTAGGGCTGTGTCTTTTTTTTTTTTCTGAACTTCCAGAACCAGCCCTACTGCCCTGCTCATAACCATCAATCAAGAGCCATTGTGAATTAAATTGAAATGAGTAGAAAAGGCATCGGAAATGATGAGAAGGTCGGGTGTTTCACACGCTACATTTTTCTCTCCTCGACACAGAACCAACCTCAATGTACTCAGCTTTGGATATCATTCGTATTTGTTCATTTAAAGGAAAGCATGCCAGTGACCTAAGAAATACCTTATGTCAGAGCTCAACGAGCAAAACAAGGAGGTAGAGAGGGAGGAAGAGAAGGAAGGAAAAAAAGTAAACACATGTGGAAATGTTTATTCAGGGCCTAGTCTGTGGGCTCCAGCTCCACATGACAAGCTGGATCCACTCACATCCTTCCACTCGGCTGCACTCAGCTTGGTCCTCTACAGGGGCTCCCTCTTCCTCTTCCCACCTGCTTTGGTATGAATTGAATGCTTGGGTCCCCTCAAAAGTCATAGCTCAAAGCCCTAATTCCACTGGGGTGATGTTAGGAGAACACTTTGTGAGGTAATTAGGTTTGTTCGAAGTCATGATAGTGGTGTCCTCATCATGGGATTTGTGTTAGTGTTTTTATAAGAAGAGACACCATATTTCCATCACCCTTTCTCTCTCTGAGCTCACGTGTACCTTGAAGAAGTCATGAAGAGCACATAGTAATATGGCAGCCTACTACAATCCCAGAAGAGAGTGTTCACCAAGAACTGAGTCTGCCAACACTCTGATTATAGACTTTGCAGCCACCAGAAAACTGTGAGACATAAATGTTTGCTATTTAGGCCATCTGGTCTATGGTATTTTGTTGTAGTCACCCAGGCGGACCAAGATGTGCTTTCCTCCACGCTACTCTCCACTCAGCAGCCACAACCAACTCACACACCAAACCATTTTGCCTTAATATCCTTACTGATTTCCATCTTACATGACCCATTTTTCCTGTGTACAAAGACCTTCTGTGAGCAGGCTGCCTCCTCCTTTGTAAAATGGTGTCTTCGCCCTCTCCCTCTCCCTTACATTCCAGTCATATCACCTTCTTTCAGTCCATCACAAGCTAAGATCCTGGATGTCTTTGCCCAAATGACCTTCCCGCAGCTCTCCTTGACCTGAGACCCCCTTAGCCACTGTGTCTGAAGTCATTCCAGTTACTTCTCATCATGTTTCCTGTTTTGCTTCCTATATTGCCATATTTAGGACCTGGTACACCTCCTTGTCTGTTCACTTATTTCCTATGTTCTTGTTCTTCATTGCGAAGAAGAATCTGGCCTCTTTTGCTCACTGCTCTGTCCCTGGCTCCTTGACTAGGCCTGGCTCAGTCCCTGCTCAACAATGATCAATTACTGAGTGGCCAGACGCGCCTGGCACCGGCTAGATGTGGCCACAAACAGTATTTTCATCTCCAAAATGGTTTCCTGTAGCAATTAGTAGGGAGTTGCCAATGATTTCCAGGATTTTGACATACCTGGGGTGAGTTCATTCATAATTAGTTTCTTTGAAGTAGAAGTGAGTCAGAGAGTGGATGATATCATGCTCAAAGTCCACATCAAAGTGTTCATGGATGAACGCAAGGGCAGCAAAATCCCATGCAACCTTGAGCTGGAAGGTGCAGGAAGCTGGGACGTGAGGGGACGTAAGATGTGGACAGCATCTTGTGGGGTCCACACTCCAGCTCCCACCCACTCCACCTCCCATATGCTGATAATCTGTGCTCAGTGTTGCCCACCTTGAAAGCATGCTTAGCCTCGCCTGCCTCCCCGCTTCTGCACTGGGAAGACAGATGGAGTTTCCAAAGCACCAAACAGCGCAGAAGCAAAGTGTTTTTAGGAGAGCACTCTCGGAGGGAATGTGGAGTTTTCTCTAGCTTTAGAAAGAACGCTAGGCTTGGAATCAGAGATGTAGGTTGGAGCTCAGGAACTCTGTGACTTTGGACAGGACATTTAGCCGTGTCCAATCTATTTTCCCTTCTGTAGTGCTCTTCTATCTATAGCCAAGGTTGTTCTAAGAGTGGGAATTGGAATGGTTCTGTAAAACTGTAAGGCTCCATGTATTGGAGATTGTTTCTATAAATATAGTGAAGATCCAGGTCCAGTGGAATTGGGGAATGACAGAATTTTAGGAACTATTCATTTAAACCCTTTTCCTTGGTGTGTGTGTGTGTGTGTGTGTGTGTGTGTGTGTGTGTGTTTTATAATTTACATGTGTTATAAGGTCCCTGCTCCTGGTTGCTCCCATCCACTTGAGGTGAGAACACAAATACACACGTGGAAAGCTGACACTCAAGTGAAGGATCAAATGAGTCTCTTGGACAAATGCTGCCGGAGTTTGGGATGGTGGCCAAGGATATTGTAGTACCTTCTAACCCACCTTCTTGCACATGGTCCACTCACTATAGTGGCTCCAGACACATATGCCAACAAGATGTAAAATAGATAAGCAGTTAGGGAGGCGGGGCTTGGAGCCAGACTGCTTGGGTTCAAACCTCCAGTGTGCTACCTACCTAGCAGCTATTTTGGCATTTTATAAACTGAGGTGAAATACCAAGTCTCAGGGTTGGTTTGAGGATTAAATGAGTTTGTGTATTCAAAACACTCAGCATCCTTTCAGGCACTTTGTATGTATTCTGACCCAATCAGTGGTCTTCCCCACATTTTTCAAGAGGTCTATCTTCCTATAAAACAGTTTGACTCTGCTTCCTAGACTTGCAAGTACTGTTCTTTTTTTCATTTCCTTTGAACCTTTATTAGAATTTGTTTGCTGTCTCTTGGCACAGTCTACTGAGGAGGTCACAGTATCCTTCCCTGCTCTTGGATGTCAAGACTTGTATATTTGACTCACACATTTTGCAGATCCCAAACAGGCCCCGTGCCCACACCAGGTATTTAGGAAACATTGGTTGAATGAATGGTGCGGTCCAAAACTGCATCACAAAAGTGAGAGTTCCACTGTGTCCTGAAGGAAAAGCACGCTTTTAAAAATCATTATTATTAGGTGAGTGTGGTAGTTCACGTCCATAATCCCAGCTACTTAGGAGGCTGAGGAAGGAGGATTACAAATTCAAGGCCAGGCTGGGCAATTTAGCAAGATCCTGTCTCAAAGTAAAATGTCAAAAGGGACTGAGAATGTATCTCCATGTGAGACCCTGGCTTCAATCCTCAGGACCACAAATATACATTTGTTTTGATTGTAGTGTACTGATTAAGAGCACACATCTTATAGCCAGCATACCTGAGATAATCGCAGCTCTAACATTTACAAGCTTTATAATTTGTGGCAAATAACCTCTCTGTCCCTCAGTTTTCTTCCTTACTAAATAGGGAGAATAAAAGTCTTTCTTTGCAGCATTGTACTGTGAGAATGATCGCATGAATTTCATGGAATCCTTAGCACTCGGTAAGCACTCAGTGAACAATAGCGATGTAATAAATGCTTCTTCCATGAAATCCAGCATACAGTAAGAAGTGGAAGAGTTCCTTCACCCCCACCCTAGTCATCCCACCCCCAGAGACAGAGCCACTGCTCTTGCTTTAGTGACTATATTTCTAGAAGTTTTATGAATTGTTACACAAACAATCACACCACCTGTGCTACTCTGCAAGCTCTTTGTTCCACACACCCATGTGTTATACTTACCTGTCTGTGTCAATGCATAGTGACTGCCGAGCACTGTGGTTTATGGATCCATGGTAACTAAATGCCTCAGCACCAGAGTGGAGGCCACTAGGTTTTTCCAGCTGCTCACCATTATGTGTGTGATGCAGGAACATCTCAGATAGGCACAATCACACACTGTGACTGCAGCTGTGAATCCAGGCCTGCGCATGGCCCTGAGACCACAGTTCTGAAACTCTTTGTCCTGGTGTGCAAGGACCTTGTCGTAATCCTGGGCCTTCCCAGGTTGCCACCATTGATCCTCATATGGTCTTTTCATGTCTTCTCTGTGTTTGACAATTAATGAACACAAAATCGAGTTTTAAAATTTCATAATTACTTCTTTGTTGCTCTGCGGAAAAATAGTAACAATTACCCTCAAGGAATAGGAGTTAACTAGGCAAAGAATAGGGTGAAGAACTGCCGTGTTAGGGAAGCAGAGCAAGCGCCATGAGAGGTGGTCATAAGAAAGCTGAGGGTCCATCTCAGTCAATTTCTTCATTGCTGAGACAAAATATCCAGCATCCACAAATTAAAGGAGGAAAGGTTTATTTGGTGCATGATTTTCAAAGGATTCAGTCCGTACTTAGCTGGCTCCAAGGCAGAAATGGCAGGGTGCAAGTGTCTGGTGGAGGAAAGCTGCTCTCATCATGGTGGTCAGGAAGCAGGAAGAGAATGGAGGAGCTGGGAAGGGAGATGTGCTCTTCCAGGTCAATGCCCCCAGTCACCCACCTCCAACGTGGTCCCACATCCTATCAGCACACTCAGCTGTTGAGTCCATTAGTGGATTAATGCATTGATGAGTATAGCGCCCCCATGATCCAGTCACCTTCCAAGAGCATGAGAATTTGGGGGGACAATCTAGATCTAAACCATAACAAGAGCCTAGACTAACTTGAGAAAATCTTTATTGAAGTTATGGATCAAAAAGTAAAATCTGAGACCTAGGAGCAAAGCTAAGTTGCTAGGATCTTATACCAGGCCATAGAACGAATCACATAACTATTACTGAAAATGTGTCACTGCACACAGCTCATTACCCAGAGCTAGCCATTTGATCCTGTTTAATCCCACACCACCACAATCAAAGAGAACCAGAAGAGTAATCTCATCACAGGCTAAAATTAATGGGCAAATATTACTACTACCCATCTCTTTTCCAATCTAAAATCTTGCTTCTGAGAAAATTTCATGACAACAAGTAGAGAAGGGTCAAATGATGTCGCCACAGCCAATGTCAACTGAAATTACTGGGCTAAAGATAGGGATTGAACAGACTCAGGGTTCAATGGGTCAAATATGATTTTAATAATGGCCCCAGATTGGGTGGAATGAGGTAGAAAAACATGATGAAACTTTTGGAATAGGTGAAAACCTGTTAAAAAATATTTTTATATCAGCTGCTTGCTCCTTGCTCCTTCCCTTTCTCTTTTTTTTTCAGGAGTCCCCTAGACCTTCCCTGGGGTTTATGTACAGTTCATTTAGGCTTTAGAAGGTTCCAGATTCAAGAAGTTTCTGAAGATAGAATATAATGACAGTAAGGATGATCATAAGAGGAATGATAGTGAACTCCCCAGTAACACTTTTTATGTGCCATTGCCATCCACATATGAGCTCATTCGTCCTTACACCAACCCCATAAGCAGGCATTTTCACTAGTTACATCGGACAAATGAGGAAACAGCCACACAAAGGTTAAATAACTTGCCTCAAGTTTACTCAGGATTAGAAGCCAGGCAGTAAGATTCCAAAGATGGGTATGATTGCTAGGGCAATTGGTAGAAGAAATGTTCTAGAACATTCTTCTCCTCCAATCTACAACCCCTAGGGGCCCTAATTTGCCATTTTAAAAACCTCTGTATTCTAATAAAAATTGTCTAGCCCTAACTCATGCCCCATTAATTTTAGCCAGGATTCAATCCAGAGGAAGGGCACCAAAGGGCCAGCACATGGGCCAAGCAGTTCCTTTAATAGGCTTGACCTGAAATCTTGACACAAAAATCAATCATGCTGTCACCTGGTTGAGGGCCTGCTTTGTTTCTGCTAACTACTCTGCCTTCATTGTCACTCAGACTTCCTTGATGTTTGTTTTTTCCTTTTTTTAAAAAAAAAACTCTGAATATGTCTGTAATTTCACCATGAAGAATGATGGTAATTTCACATTCCTGTGCCTTTAAGTGTAATGAATACTCACTTCAGGCTGAACAGAATTGCTCATCCAATTAGGGTTCATGATGATGAGCATTCTTGCACTTTTGTAATGACTTTCATCTGAGACCCTCAGAACATTTTAAAAACATTCATCAAGCCTCATGAGGCCTCTGTGAAGCCGAGCCGGGCAAGGGGAAAGTACAAAGATGAAAATCACCAATGTGCCATGGACGTGATATAAGTGGAAGTCATACCGCCACTGGATGTTTTCCATTTTCATCTTTTTAATGCAAAGAGGATCAGAGAACATTAGAGCCAGAGAGTGATGTGGCTTTTCTGTAGCCTTTCTTCTCTGGTTAAAGGCCTCTGCTTGCATTCCTGTGGAATGTACGCCTAGATTGGATCCTATGTCTAGAGTGGATCCCATCCCTAGACCAGATCCTACCCCTGAACTGGGTCCAACCCCTACATGGAAGAGCAATGTGGCCCCCTGTACAAAGCCAAAGAATCAGATAATCCAGAGGGTTTAGGGTAGGTGGAGCTTAACCACTGTTGTTTGGGGAAGAAACCGGATCCCATCCCTAGGCTGGATCCTACTCATAGAATGGATCCTACCCTTAGCCTGTAGGAGAAGCCTTTTCTTGGAGCCTGGAGTCACTATCCACTCCCCTTCCTTTGGGGAGGAGGAGGGCTGGCTTGTTCCCAGGATGGTCTAGCCATGCCAGTCACATGAGAGGAAAGAGTAAGAAATTCTACACCTGATCCCAGGTGATGGGTTGCATTAAAACTTGCTAATAAATATAAGAAAAGGACTGCTTATCAGTAGCAGTGGAAATGATGGTGATGGCCCAGAATCACATGGGTGGGGTAATACCTTTGCTCTCTGATGGTTCAATGGACCCAAAGTTGGTTTCATACTCAAAACTGAAAATGTTGTATCAAACTACCTTCAGGATATCTGTATAGGTGTAGTATTAGTCACTTTCCATCACTGGGAGGTAATGTCTAACATTCACAACTGAAGGCAGAAAGATTTATTTTGGCTTACAGTTTTAGTTCATGGTCAGCTCCAAGGCAGAAAGGACATGGTGAAAGGGCTTGGGTGAAGGAAAACTATTCAAGCCAGGAAGGAGAGAGAGGCAGATGGGGGTGGGGGGAGGGAGAGAGAAGAGAGAGAGAGAACTAGGAACAAGAATATGCAATTCCAGATTGTGCAACCAGTGACCTGCCTCCAGTCAGGCCCCAGCTTCTAACAGCAAGTTAGCTATGAACTCATCAGTGATCGCTGGACTAACCCCACAATGATCATAATGCTCCTATGACCCAGTCACATAAAATGGTGGACATTTTGAATACAAAGCATGCAAATATATATGAAGCATAAATGAATTTTTTGTGTTTGGGTCCCTTTCACAAGGTAACTCATTAAGTATATGCAAATATTCCAAAATAAGAAAAGAAAGAGACCCAAAATCTGAAACACTTCTGGTCCTGAGCATTTTGGGTAGGGGATACTTAACCTATAATATAGTACCTTGACTAATCCCAGACAGAACCTCCTGCTTCATGTACTTATGTTGTGGCCCCAACTCTGTTCTGTATATAACCCACTTTACCTTAGCAAAAGGGAGGGGCAGTTTGAGAGTTCCTGGGAGGTTAGGACTGCCTAGCTATGGGACTCTTGTGCACAAGAGAAGGAAGGGGGCTGAAACATTGGAAGCAGCACCCCAGTAGAAAAGGGCAGATGATGGCTATTACAAACCTTGACCCAGGAGCTGGGGAGGTCAGGTCAGGTTTTTATGATGAGGGGCATAAGAATCTAGAAAACTAGGTCAATATCTAAGATGAGGGTCAAGGTCAAGGGCAGAGGCTAGGAACATAATAAGAGGTAGAAGCTCCTAAATAGACCACCAGAACAGGTCTATGGGAAGTAGGCCAAAGTTCTTCCACATGGAAGAGCAATGTGGCCCCGTGTAGAAAGCCAAAGAAGCATATAATCAAGAGGGCTTGGCATAGGTGGGGCTTAACCACTGTTGTTTGGGGGGAATTCTTAAGTTGGTTCTATTCAGTCTTCAATTGTGGGAGTGAAGGACTTTTCCTTCCATGGCATTACCTTGCCAAGTGCCCAAGCGTGCCACCCTTCTTGGGTTATAAGCACTGTGAAACATTGCGCTTTGAGTTGACCTCATATGAGGTAAGTCCAACTGTGACATAGCCAAGGCTGGGGGAGCTCATAGTTGTCATTCTTGCTAAATGGTCAGTGAGAAAAATGCCAACAGCTGTCCTAGGAAGTCCTCACCAGGATTCAAAGGATAAAGCGTAGCACGGCCTCTGGGCATGAGTGATGTGCGGTCGTATGAATGGATCCCGGATGGTCTGTGGACGCTGAATCTGCCCTGGAATCCTTTCAAATCTTATCTGTCATCAGTTTTTCTTTCCCTTCGGCTCTCTCTGATTCTTGAAGCTCAAAGGATGTGGCTGGTGAGGAATTCTGCTCTTACTTATGACATTCCTACCAAATGTTTTGCCTTTTCCCCTCTCTGAATGAACTTAAATTTGAAAATTAAAAGTTAGGAAAAGTCATTTCCCAGCTGTTTGCGGTTGTAACACCCTTTCTCAGAGCCAGTCAGCACAGAGGAGCCCAACTACCATAACAGGAGTAGGAACCTGGGGAGGCACAGGACAGAAAGAAAATCTCAGGGTTGGAGGAAAGCACTGGCTGGTACAACGGAAGGATGGTAAGGGTCTTCCTCTCACTCATCTAACTCCTGAGCAGGGCTGCTGCAGAGTTAGTTGGCTGTCTTGCTGGGGTGGAGACACTATCCAGGTGGCTCTTGGCAGGTCCCCTGGGTTTCTATAGAGTGTCCCAGGGTGACTGCAGGGGTGAGGGTGCCTCTCATCAAACACAGCTAAGGGAGTAGAGTTGCAGAGAGATCTGAGAGCAATGGCCACTCCATGGGGCCCAGGGACACACGAGGAAGGGGGAGGCTGGCGAATTTCTCCCAGCCTGCCTATATTTTCTTCCAGCAGAGGGGCCCACACAGTCACCAGGTGAGCAGACGGTGTGAGAAGCTGAGGTTCCCATTCAAAATGAGGTGGGGCACCACTTCTCTGGGCCCAGCCAGGACCCTGGGTTCAGGGCGACACAGCCTGGGCAAACCAGGATTCCTCCAGCATGGAACCAAATTGCTTCTGCTGCTTTTTTGTGCCCTTGAGGATAGAGAGAAATGGACTGTGCTGTGCCTCTATCTCATAATTTCCCAGGTTCTAAGTTCAAAGATGAAGTATTAACTTTGCACAGGAAGTCCTTCTATTTATGGAACACTGTGGTTTACATAATTCTAATGCTTAGACTTTATCTGTAGGCAGAAAAACAATGGATTCCCTCATCTGGAATGCTTTTGTATGAAATGAAGCATCTATGCAGACCCTGGTTCTTGTCCAAATTAACTGAATTGGCTGAACTGGGTTAAGTGGAAGGTACTGGGGTGACCAGGATTCTTGTGAAATGCACCTGGCTTCTGTCTGGACCTGACACCTGTCTCAAACTTATGTTGTCAGGCAGCTGTGAGTGGGAAACTCTTCTGATTTATATAAAAACCCATGATTCCAAGTGCCTGAATATCTATGCTGTTGATGTAGCATACATGCAGGTGTGCGTGCATGTGTACACTCACACAAACACACACACACACACACACACACACACACACGGGCGCATACTTGCTCGCTCACACACATTCACACAAACTTACTGGAGGTGGTGAAGATCCACAGTCCCAGAAGGCACTAACAAGGGATGCGTGTGAGGGTACTGCAAGCCCAAGTTCCGTGGGCCGGTATATGATGGCATCAGTACCTCGCATCTCCACTTGAACACTGACTCATTTCCAATTCTGAAAGATGTCCTTTGTGCAAATGCAGGACACCTTCATCTCGGGGTGAGCGGAAACGTCCCCAGCTTCTGGTGGTAGCGGATACATCTGAAAAATGGAATCGAATCAATTTTGCTCCCAAGAGGGACAGGTGGAGGACTCCCATTTCCTGCCAATTCAGTTGGAAACAATGAGGAAAGAGAAAAAAAAAAAAAAAATGGAGCCCTCCCTTCTCTTTCTGGCCTTAGACATGAACCCCTGATAAGATCCTGGAAAACAAGCAGCATTTAAACAGCCATTTGCCCTCTTCAGCTGAGAAAACAGCAAGAGCCAAAACTAGGAACCGGGGCCACCTCTATTGTAAATGTGGCCAGGCGGACTGATTGTCGCCAAACGGCAAAGCCCGAAATGACTGAGATAAGGAATATAATAACATTTTCACATGAACCCTGCATTCTTACCTCTTCTATAGGAGAGGATATCCCCGCAGGAAGGAGGAAGGTGGGGCCCGGCCGCGTCCGATGGCAGCGCCGGCACTGCATTGTCCAGGCCTTTGTGGGGACTCAGGAAGAGGGGACGGAAGTTTCGACAGGAAAACAGCGAAAAGTTCAAACGTAAACAGCGTCCAAAAAAAATTTACCAATAGCAAACTCGATTTCCTCTTTGGGCCTTCCATGCTTCCATGCATCCCCGGGCTGGCAGATTTTAATCTTGGATTCTGTTCACCTTGGTAACCTCCAGCGGGTGTGATGATGCCGTTTCCCTCCTTAATAAGTCAAGAGGATGTGTTTTCTATGGCAGTGGAGACAAAAACAACCTGTTTCCAGAGACTGCATCCTGGCCTGGCCAGGGCTTGCTCTGTCTTTTCCATTGGTCACTTCTGGGGAGGGTATGAACTTCCCTGAAGTCCCGTGTGGGACGGGTTGGGCCTCTCTTAGAAGAGCTGGAACAAAGACACAGGCAGCTAACTCGACACTTCCCATCATAAAGCAAGGCTTCGACGGGGCACCCTGTTTCGGGCCTGAGATGCGCCTTGAGAATCTCGCTCCTACTGGCATTGGAGCAGAGCCGCACTCCATGCGCGGTTCCTCCAGGTACCCAGTGAGGGCAGGAATTGCCCCCCGCATTATGGCTGTCTTCCTCTACCCCCCAGGGCTGAGAAGCTGCAGGAGGAGCTCTGCAGCCTGTCCTGCTTTCAGGGTTAGGAAAGCCATGACTGTCACGCGGGAGATGACATCCACCACCACATCTGAAAGAAAAAAGGGGCACAATGAGAAAAAAGAGCAGTTTGGGGTGATTCTCTCCCCTTTCACCTCCTCTCTGTGTACTAAGCCAAAATGATACCATTTGGGGAACTCCAAAGAACAGGGACAAAAATGGTTAAAAAAAATTGTGCTCAGCTTTCCTGCCGTGAGAATTGAAGAATAAGGCTTTCTCAAGGGCAGTGCCCGGAATGTGAGAGGTTTTTCTCCCCTCGTCCCGCTGATGGAGAGCCTCAAAATTGCAGCTAAGAACCGAAGAAGCCACTTCCAAACTGGCTCTAATGGGGGCTGCCAGGCACTTAAAGGAGCCCGTTACTCCTCAGATGAGGCCAGTCACACATCTCAGGAGCAAATAGTTACAGCTATTAGACAGGCTTCCTGGACTCTGCCATTATGGGAAACTAAAGCACCTTCTCCCCCACAAAATTGCTCTTAAGCCCAAGTAGCTTTCACAGAACGTCAAGGAGAGAGTGGGGAGTGGACTGCTCTAGCTTTTGAGGGGATATCTTTTTCTGAATTGCTTTTTTCAGAACAAATGACTTCCATTATGTTCAACCAGGGACCCATTCTTCACTTAAGTATGTAAAGCAAAATATAGCTTGTTCTCCGGATGTGTTACAACAGAAAGCTTTTGTGCTGCCTGCCGCAGATGGCTGATGGAAGTATGCTGTATAAAAGCCCAGGTACAGCTAAGAGGGTGACCTTGAGCTCCGAAACCAGCTGAAAGTGTGGTTTAAGGCAGACTCAGAGAGCTTTGCTGTAATAAGGGAGACCTGCGTTTCAGGAAACCAGAGGCCAAGAGCTCATTCATGCAGCATGCGTGTATTCAACAAGTGTTGCTTTCATCCTCCCAGACGTTCAAGTCCTCGTTCATTTACACAAGGTGCCGGGCTTTGGTTACACATTCAAGACAATCAGACTGCTTTTCTATGCATTTAACAGCAAGGCATTGGCCCTAAGTAATCAGAAGGATGTCGGAGACCACGTCTCTTTCGCTGGAAGCCCCCCACTCCTGTATCACAAGTCAACCTTCAAGTCACCTGGTGCGGTTTACTACCCAAGAGCCACAAGAGCCGGCTCAGGACAACCTTGGTACAGCGACAGACTAAACATAGTCCCTAGCTCCAGAAGCCAAACAGCCTATTCCTCTGAACCAGGAGCCATTCCCAGAGAGATGTGGTTTTGGGTACCAAAAGGACCTGAGCCTGAAGTCCCTCAGAGGCCCCAGAGATTCCTAAGTCCCATGAAAGGGACATCGAGTGCATGAGGAAGAGTCCTCCTAGCAAAGGCTGCCGGTTGGATGGAGACGGAGGAAGAGGAGTGAGATGAGACACTGCCCTGGCACTCTGGGCCCTGATTCCCACTTGCCTCAGCAGGACGGTCGATCACTCTGCCTGCGGAACCAGCCCCAACACATCTGAGAGCAGCGGGTCCCTGGGGACAGGGAGGAGGGTCTCTAGAACAGCCCAGCACGCTACTCAGTTCTGACCTCCCACCTCAGTGCCCATCTAACCTGGAGATCCTGATTCCTTCATTCCCACAGAAACCGCTGAACCGAACTCTCATTCTCCTCCCCCCACTGTATCTTTCCAAGGACTGAACCCTGGATCCACGGTGCCTTCCAGCCAGCTTCCAGGTGCTGCACATCCAGCCTCAGTCTCTGGGCTGCTTTCTCCCTGTCATTGTCTTCCTGTGCTCAGTGACATCCACATATTTATCCGGTGGCTTTTAGTAAGCTCTCACCACAGCCAGGCACTGGACCAGTTGCCAAGGACACAGCGGTGGCCCAGACAGACAGGACCCTGCCTTCGGGGAGGTCACGGCCTGGCCAAGGGACAGAAAGATGTCAAACTGTACTTGACCGACTTCAAAAATTTCTTCTTACATAATCCTATTTAAAATATTACTTAGAAGCTGAAATATAATTTAGTATTGTTTAGATTTGTTTTAAAAAAGACTTGCTATGGTTAAAAAGTTTTGAACATATAGTTATAAGTCCATAGGTCTTTTTTCTTTGTCTTGTTGAGACGGGGTCTCACTATGCAGTTTGGGCTGGTCTTGAGCTCACTTTGTAGCCCAAGCTGGCCTTGAACTTGTAATAGTCCTCCTGCCTCAGCCTCCTGAGTGCTGGGATTACAGGCATGTGCCACCGTGCCTGGCTAGTCCACAGGTCTTGGATAGTGAGCCCATCTGGACCAGATTAAGTCTTCTTAAAGAGGAAAGGTGATCAAGGCATGTGCCCTTCAGCCCCTGATTATTCATGGGGATGGGCAGAGGGGTTGCTGTGTTTCTGGCACTGTGCTAAGCATTTTACATGAATTCTCTCACCATGCAGCTCAAAAGGTAATCCTTAACTTTGTCCCCATTTTACAGATAAGGAAACAAATGCTCAGAAAGGTTAACGTGTCTGAGGAAAACAAAACAGACCTTGTCTTGCTTGCATCTGCAACTTATTTGACGTCATTGCACCTAAGTGCGGGAATAGTAAATAAAATGTGTAACAACTGCATGATGTGGACCCAACCAGAGTAGACAGATGCAAGGCCAGGGAGCAGAAGCAGGCTCCCAGCTCCAGGGAGGCTGGGGCAACTGGGGTGGCCAAGTCAGGGGTATGGGTGACCAAGATGGCACCTATTTAAGGACCGGTGTGGAGGCCTCTGATATCTTAGCAACCAGACAGCCACATGGACACAGCCCCACCCGGGTGGAGCGGGAAAGCCCCCTCCCTGCGGCCTGCGGAGTCACGAGGGGGCACCTTGTGTTCGCGACTGCACCGGAGAGTCGCTGAACATCAGCCTGCTTCACAGACCATTACAGAACTCAGCGTGCTTTGGAATAAGCTGACATGCTAAGCTTGCTTTTATACAAACCTTCTTCAGTTACCAAAAGCTTTCTTTCCTGATTCTAGACCAAAGCACTGCTCCTGTGTTTTATTTAGCCCAGTGATTTCTCATTCTAAATCTTAGTAGGTCAGGCATATAATAAACTTGATGTATATTTGCCTCATTTCACCTTTGTGTTAAATCACGAGGCAAGTACTATTATGACCATCCCTGTTTTACAGATGAGGGAACTATTTTACAGAGAGGCTGAGTGAGTGTCTTAGTCATTGTCTCATCACTGGGACACAAGACCTGACACCTACCTCTTGAAGGAAGAGGGGTTTATCCTGGCGAATGTTCTCAGCTCCTAGTTGGCAGGTTCCAAGGCAGGAAGCCATGATGAAAGGGCCTGAGTGGAAGAGGAAAGCGCTCATGGCATGGTGGGAAGGAAGCACAGAGAGAGAGAAAAAAGAGGAGTGAGGGAGGGAGACATTTCTTTCCGAGTCAACCCCACACCCTTGTGACCCGCCTCTGACCAGGGCCCACTTCCTCCCAGCAAGTAAGCTGTTACACGCCCATGATCTTCCAGGAGCCCTGCCTACGACCACAGGAGGCTCTTGGGTGACATGTAGATAGAAACCATAACACTGAGTAACTAGCCTAAAGTGGCACAGTTAGTTAATAAGTGGCCGGAGCAAGCTGGGTGTGGTGACTCAGGCCTATAATTCTGCACTCTGGGAGGCTGAGACAGGAGGACTGTGAGTTGAAGCTCAGCCTGGGCCACTTAGCTGCTTAGCAAGACTTCGTCACAAAATAAAAAATTTTAGAAGGGTGGAGGATGTAGCTCAGGGAGAAGGCCCTGGAGTCAGACCCCAGACCAGGAAAAAAAAAAAAAAGACAGAATTTGAACCACCTAGTCTGGCTCCAGAGAACTAGCTCTTAATCATAAAGCTTCTCTGCCTTTCTGGTATGTTTGAATTATTTGCTGATGTTTAAAAACCAAGAGAGGTAATGTAGACCCCAGATCTCTAGCTTGTCACATTAAACAATCAGGCATTCTAATAACAATGAGCCTGTGCTCCCTGTGTGAACTTGAGCCCCGCTGCATGGACCCAGGGTTCTCTGACTGCCCCAGTCCCCACCGTCCCTTGTTGCCCTCTAGAACTACCGAGCAGTCCTTTGCCATTTTGCGTCAGGGTTTGCTGCTATTTCTCTTACATCCAGGCCTCTTCACTCATTGTGTTACCTTCCTGGCCCTGTCCTCAGTGTGCTTTCCCTAAAACCATGTTTAGGGCCAGAAGTGAGAGGTGTAGGCCCTGAGGTCTGAACCCATCCTGACTTTCATTCATTCTTAAATGAAGACAGTCATCCTTGATGCTCTGACCATGTATGTATGAAGGAGTCCCAGATGGACTTGAGGCAGGAGGACCGCAAGTTCAAGGCCAGCTGAGAGGGGGAGGGGAGGGGGACAAAAGTCCAGAAGTCCAGGAGAGTCTCCCTTCTCTGCTGTACTGTTACTAAGTACCAGATTAAAGGAGAACAATGAGAGGAGAACTAAAGCAAGGAGCAATAAATTCAAAACATCAACTGGAGAGAAAACCCTTGATCCTAGCCCAAATGTAAGACCTAAAATTTCTACCTAGGAACAAAACAACCTGATTACTAAAGAAAATTCCTTACGATTGTAAATACTTTCCTGCAAAGGTCCAATATTACACAAAATATTACTATCAGCAAATATGATTGTCATTAAACCACATCTAGTGGAAGTTTTGCATTCAGATGCAAACCATCACTCCCACAGTGCCTCCTTTGGAGGACCTGCATTTTTCCCATGATGCTTTTGCAGGAAACATTTGGAGACCCCTTCGGGGAGCTACTCTTCAAAACCAGTTTATGGGCCATTTAGGAAAGGATTTTTATATTGCTTTGTATTCACATCTAATTTTTGATCCAAAATAGCAACCCCCACCTTTTCCACCATTGCCCAAATGATAGTCCTGCTACAAAATAAAATCCACCAAAAGATGAATATTTGTTCATACTGAGAAAATAATTAGCAACAATCTCAAAGGCAACTTCTTAATTGTGTGGTTAACAACAACTCCTAGAAATAACACAGCCTTCCAAGGTAGTTTCTTTGAAGGGAGCACTACCTATTTGGATGTTTTGATGTGTTTGTTACGGAAATCTAAAAAGAGAATAACAAATATATTAGTCTATTCTTTAAAGAATTGTGCGTGCAAATGGAAAGTGTATATGCTGAAGTATAGATTATAGGTATTTCTGGGTAGTACAATTATTAGGAGCTTTTATTTCCTTCATCAATATTTATCCAGCAAAAAATCAGTGCTTACTTGCACTATGTTAAATGTTAGGAAAACAGTGTAAATATTTCTTTACTGCTTTGTATTATAATGAGGAGATGTAGTTTTTGTAATCATAAAAATTAAGCTGCCTTTATTCTTAAAATCAGTTTATCTATCTATCTGTCCAGATGAAGTAAAGGAGAAGACAGATGAGTAGATCTCTCTGTAAACCAACCTATTGATTGAGGTAACTAGTTTTCTACAAAAGCATATCCTTTTGGTTTAGGAGACATAGGCAAATGAAACCCCATACAAACAGCATTTCCTACTTTGGGTAAACCGGAAAAAAGTAATAAAAATCAGGGATAGAATGATTCACAGTGTGAGATCCACACCTGCGGCTTCGGTGTGATTTTGAACAGTGAGTTGAACCACTTGAGGCCCTAGGTTCTGCCTGAGTCCATTTTGTCCTGCTGCAACAGAATCCTGCAGCCTGGGTAATTTATAAGCAATTGACATTATTTTTCACAGTTCTGCAAGCTGGGATGTCCAATTTCAAGGTGCAAGCATTGAGATTGTGAGAGAAAGAGAGGGAGAGAGGCTGACTTGTTCTTTTATCAGGAATCTGCCCCTGCAATAAGTAACCCATTCCTGGGACAATAGCCTTGATCTGCTACCATGTCAGAGCCCTCCCAATCAAAGCACATTTTAAAGGTCTCACTTCTCAGCACTAGTGCACTGGGGACCAAGTCCCCAGTACATGAATTTGGAGGGACATGTTCAAACCATAGCAGACTCCTCCTAAAATCAAGGAATTGGACTAAACGGTCCCTGACATTTAAAGGTAAACCATTCCCTGAAATTATGACACAAAATATATGTGCCACAAAGTCTAAAGTGCTGAGCACAAGAAATATAGAAATAGACTTTAAGCAAAGAGTCATACAAATGGCTTAATAGGAAATTACTTTTATTTTATTTATTTTATTTTTGTCTTTGGAGACAGGGTCACGCTGTGCAGTCCAGGCTGGCCTTGAGCTCACTTTGTAGCCCAGGCTGGTCTTGAACTTGCAACAATCCTCCTGCCTCAGCCTCTCGAGTGCTGGGACTGCAGGTGTGCACCACCACACCCGGCCAGAAATTACTTTTTAAAAAACTTAGCTGAGGTGTTTTTTGTTTCCTCACAACCACTGGGCCCTGCCCGTTGCTTGGGTGGGTTCAAAGAGGGTGGACGTCTGGTAGATACGAGAGGTCACCGCTCAGCTTTTGGGGGTCAACCTTAAAAGGCAGAGAAAGGGAGAGTAATGTGTGTGTGTGTGTGTGTGTGTGTGTGTGTGTGTGTGTGTGGTGTGGTGTGTGGATGCATTTCCAGAAGGTTGCCTTTACAGAGGGAGAGGCAAAGCTGGATTCCAGCTTCACGCCACATAGACCATAGCTGACCTTAGTCTGTAAAGTGCCAAAAGGGCAACAGGGGGAGAGAGAGGCAGAAGTGTCAGAAGAGCATCTTTGCTCTCTGGCTCTCTTCCCGCCTCAGCAAACATCAGGACAGGGCTATCAAACGGTCCAGGAGGCACAGGGAAGGTCAGCTTAAGGGAGGCTGAGCCCTGCTTTCTGCCTGGAACTCAAAAGAAATTCTCTGTCAGGGAACCCCACAAACCAAAGGGGCAGCCTGCCCAGAGACAAAATGGCAGTGGGTTTGTTTCCACGGAAAGGAGCCTGAGATTGTCCTCCATTTCCTCTTGGCTGATTGATGTGTGGCCTGTAGGGGACAAAGAAGTTCCCCCGCGACATCCATCCTCCCTAGATAGCTGACAAAGCACACTGTGAGCTGGTGGGCCAAGGGATGGGACCACAGCAGCTCAGGTGTGACCTCTAGCCAAGTCCTGGAGAGTAGAGCTGGCCTCCCACACTTTGTCCTGGAGGTTTCTGAGGCCAGCATATGTGGTGGGCAGGAGGAGCAGAGGCCGCGCAAGGCCAGTATCAGAGGTGACACCCAGGTGGGGTCCCTGCCCAGTAGCCCAAGGGACCCCGATCCTGCCCCCAGAGCTCCTTCCCTGCAGACACACCCCGTCTTGAGGAGGCGGATGAAAGAGAAAGCAGCTGGCAGGGGAAGGAAGCAGTGCTGATAGGAAGTTCCAGCTCTGAGTTAGCTGATTATTGAGGGGGAAACCGATTGTTTTAAACCGGAAGAGGCTGTTACCTTTCAGTAATGAGTTGGAGTTTCTTCCCCCCACCCCATCCCACTATCAGAAGGAATGGAAACAGATGAATCCAGTTACAAAGAAAATGTTTTTCAACCATCTTTTAAAAGAATTTTAGCAGTAGTGTGAACATTCTTACCCTGCCGGGTAAGTATGAGACTGTGCTTACAGCGAGTCCTATGAAGAAAAAAAGTCCCTGGTGCTTTGAATGCATTTAATCAGGACACATAACACAGATGGGCAGGAGGCCCTCAGGGACGCCCTGTAGAAGAAGCTGATTTTAGAGGGGCCAGGGGAGGGCACCACAAGTCCCTAGGGGGAAGGAGGTTGCTTGAGCAGAGGAGCAAGGAGGTGAACTGTGCTGGAGGGCCAGGGGTGGCGACAGAAGGAGAAAGGAGGCTGCAGTCAGAGTCTTATCCAGTTCACTCTGGGGTAACAGTGTGTCGTCCCCGTCAGGGCGACAACAAGGCAGTCCAAGGTGGTCCAGGGATAAGTAGACGTGCCAGGCCTGCAGAAGTGCAGTGGGCACCCACGGCTCTGGCAGCTGGTCACGGCCTAACTCTGATGCCCACACCTGCCGCACCCTGCAGCCCTCCTGGTTTTGAGGCGCTTCTGCATGCAGCCAGTCTCCCCAGGGCTCCAGAAGGCTGGTGCAGAGCAAGGTCTCCTTCTCGTGGAGTTGAGCAAGAAGAAAGGGCCAAGGAGGCAGTGAGAGACAGGAAGACAGGGGCCACCTCTCAATCACCTGCTACATCTGGGTTTTTCAAGGCCCCTGGCCATGCAGTGGCATCTGGGAGGACTCTCCCAGCTGGTCTGATGCCTCCAGCGGTAGCAAGAGCAGACAGTACCATCCTCGTACACGGAGAACAGCCGTCTCTTCCCACCCTGCCCCAAGCCCTAGCACAGCGGCCAAGACTATTAGAAAAATCTTTTAACCCAAAATCTTTTAACTAGGGTTAAAAATCTTTTAACCCACTTTTCTGTGTGTGCTCCGTCCTCCCCATGCTCTTTGCAGGGAGCTAGTTTCACAGGATAAATTAGATCAGGTCTTGCCTCTGCGTAAATCCTTCAATGGACCCCTAATTTGCTTTAAATAGCAGCAAAAGTCCCCGTATGCCAGGGAGACCCTCTAACCTGACCCCCGCTCACCTCCCCTGCCCTATCTTGTCTCGCTTCTTCACTCCACTCAGTGTACCTTACACCCCTTTGGTGTCTTACCTGTGTCCCCCTCATCTGGAGTCTCTTCTGGACTGTCTCGCGCCCGATTCCTCCTATTAGTCGTGTCTTGGCTCCAGCGTTGCCTCCTCAGACCAACCCTGAGCCTTTCTCTCCCCAGAGGCAGCCCTCCGGGTGACATTCCAGCTCCTCAGCCTGTGCACTCCTTCCGTAGCTCTTATTCAATGTGATGTTTTCTTATTTATTTATTTATTTATTTATTCATTTATTTATTTATTTATGTTTGCTTATTTTCATGTCCTTCACTAGAATTAAAGATCCTTGAGGACAGAGACTTTGCCTTGAGTAATGCTTGTTGCAAAGAAGGTACTCAGCACCTGCTCGGTAAGTACCTGAATGAATGAATGACTCTCTCACCAGGAATGAACCAAGGCAACAGAATGACTCTAGACTACAAATATTTCCACCACGTGACAGATACTGGGGATGTTGGCAGGTAAAGGACAAACTGTAGAGGAGGTAGTTCTGCTTAAGAAACATTACTTGTCTACAGTCTTGTGACAGAGGCCAGCACAATCGGACAATTCTAAAATCAGGTAATTCTAAAAGGACTGTGGTCCCATGAAACCATGCTGCTTTCGGCTGGAGAATGGAGAAAATTTCAACAATTCAGAGGCCCATGTGTCAAGGGTTTGTCCCCAGGGTGGCACCACTGGGAGACAGCGGAACATTTTTGAGACAGGGCCTGGTCAGAGGGTTTAGCATTTGGGAAGACCATGAGACTGCAACCCCTTCCTCTCCTCTTTGGCGTCCTAGTCATCAGGGGAGCTGTTTGGCCATGCCGTAAGCTATCCCCACCATGACCTGCTGACTTGTCACAGGTCCAAAAGCTAAGGAGCCGACTGATGATGGACTGAAGCCTCTAACACTTTGAGCCCAGATAGGCCTTTTCTAAGCTGGTCATCTCAGGCATTTTGTGATAATGTCAGAAAGTCGACTAATACCAGTTTGGTATGCAATAAATTAACTGCTGTGCAACACACAGGGAGGTAAAGATAAACACCTGGTCCCTGCCCTCGGAGCACGGAGTCTGGCAGAGAAGCCAGCCCCACAAAATTTATAGACATTAGTGGATAAAGTGAGAGGTCTGGGAGAAGCCAAGAAGAAACCTGCAGAAGAGTTCAAAGGACGAGGGCGTTTGCTTCCCTTGAAGAAGGTGGGGCGGACTTTCCAGAAGAGCTGCTTGTCACTGAAGTGAAGAGGATTTGAGCAAGCTGAAAAGGTCAAGATAAATAAAGGGGGAACTGACATTGTCAGGCAGAAGGTTTGAATGGCCAAAGCGTTGGTCTGCCTGTGTCCATTACATTTTGTAAGGAATTAGAAATGTGAGACCGATAGCAAGTTTGGGACTCCTGGGCAGGTGTTGAAGTCATGAAGCACTGGAAATTGCCCAGGTCTAGCACAGCAATCCAGAAGGGAGGAGGACAAGATTCGTATCCCAGGAGGGCCAAGGTGGTGGCCAGATCTGTGGGACTGGCATAGAGGATTGAAGGCAGAGCTCTGGGGACAGATTGCGGGCAGCCCTGGGACTTCAAGGGCACATGGAGGAAAAGGACTCCGTGTAAGAGCAGTCAGCAAAACAGGAACTAGAATCTGGAAAATTCAGCTGCCAGAAACCAAAGAGAGACGAACACATTCAGAGGGCTCCCCAGCTCCTTCTTTCTACCCATCCTGCTGGCTATTACCGGTCAATGCCTGTCGACCCTGCACAGAAAAGTGCACAGGGACAAGAAGTGTTTCTGATTTCTTTACTGCTAGATTCTCTACCCCTAGACCAGGTCTTACCACCTGGGGGAGTGAATGTGTGGACCAATAAGGATGTGTTTTCAAATTATGCAGACAGCTAAGGGGGTTGATGTTGGTGGAGAAAAAAAAAGACCTTGGATTTGGCCACTGGACACAGAAAATGTTTGAGAGATCAACTGTAGGAATCGTGATAGTAACACCTGTGTCACATGGCTGTTAAGAGGATTGATTGAGCTCATGCATGTACTTGTGTCCAGTACCTGGATGTAGCCAGAGCTCAATAAATGTGAAATAACTGTTACTAGACCCTCTAGCCTTCACTCTCAGAAACTCTGCTGGTGAACTAATTCTTTGGAGTGGTATGATGTCTAACAGATTTGTTTACAACTCTTCCAAGATATGCTAGACACACGTTGCCTTAAAATCCCACAACTTCAAAGCTATACTTGATAAAATGGCTGTAACAGAACTCACTGAAATGAGTGTGGGCTGTCCAGCCCGGCTATGGCTTGGTAGGTTTCCAAAGACCCAGAAGAAGGACGGAGTCTTCTTCTCTTGTTAAAGAGATTCATAGAATGAAGGCAGCTGCAGCCTCAGAAACACGGTTCCTGGGTTCCGTTCCTAAATCTGTAACTGTATCAGTCAGCTAACCCGGAAGAGGAAGCCCGAGAAGTGGTATGGTCCCGAAGATTGCCTCTGTCACTAGATCAGATAAAGAAGAGAAAGGCCACAGAGCGGAAGTCCTTGAAGGTAGGAAAGCACTGAACCAAAAGGTGGGAAAGCTGAGTTTCCATTCTAAATGTGCCACCAAATGTCTGTGAATGTGACTAAGGCATTTAACCTACCTGCATTGCACTGTTGTTTTTTGTAGAAGAGAGGACGGCATGAACCTCACAGCTTCCATAGAAGATTGCAGTGATGGCCACGATCTCTCCCCTCAGTGCATGCTGGCTCCCTTTGCTACACAGTTTTGCCTTTTCTCCTATCAAGAGGTAAAATCTGTTTCCTTCCTGTTGAATCTGGGCGAGCCCTGTGACTGCTTTGATTGATAGGATGGGGTAAAAGTGACATTATGTTTCAGTGTAAACATTAAGAAGTCCTGCATCTAACACTGCGACTCTTGCAATGATGTGGTGGTGAAAGCAGGCCTGAACGAGCCTTCTTGAGGATGAAAGGTCTCGTGGGGAGAGAGCACCAGCCCACAGCTAGCAGCACCAAGCATCAGATGCTTGGTGAGGCTATCTTGGAGCACCCAACCCCAGTTACATTCCCAGGTGAATGCAGTTACCTGAGTGATCCCCATATGACCACAAGAGAATCACTCAGCCAACCCATTGGAAATTGCTCGTCTATAGTTGTGAGACAATAAAATGGTTTCGGATTAATCCACTCGATGGCTTGTTATGCAGAAAAAAACAGTTGATACAACCTCTCTTATAGTTGACATTCCAGAAGATGATGTTACTGCTCTTAGAAAGGAATTAGGCTGTGTGACCTCTTAGCTGTGTGCTTGGGTTTGTCGCAGAGAACAGGTTTAGTGACTGTTTCACCCCCACCCCCAATTTGACCCTGAGGGCCTCTCCTTGAGACACACACCTGCCACACTGCTGTGTGTAGACCTACTAGAGTTTAAACTCTGCCAGTTTTCTAGTATAAGGAAGTTCATACCTTTCTTCCAAAGGTTTTAAGGTTATAGTCTAGGAAACTAAACTGACAATAGACAGATTAACAAGAGAAAAACCATAACAAATTTATTAATGTGTGTGTGCACAAAAGCCATTCAAAGCATAAAAACTCAAAGAAAGGGCCACATGGAGAAAGGTAAATGCCCTTCTACAAAGGACAGAGGGGAGCTGGGGTAGCAGGGCTGTAGACAACTTCAGAGGGGGAATCAATGACTGTTAAAGGAAATGAATGAACCTTGGGAACAAAGTCTGGGACAAAGGTCCACTTGGCTCCGGGTGTGGTGTTTGATTTTCAGTCTCTTCCTCTGTGATATGAGTTTAATCTGCCTTGGTTAATGATGTTTTGGTAAAAGGATTGAAGCCAATTGTGTTCCTCTGTGGTGGACCTGGTCTTCAGGGAGATAAGGGAACTTCAGGAAAAGCCCCTTCCTGCTCTTAGGGGGAGAAAGAGGAGTGAGAAAGGGGGTGCTGAGAAGATCAGCAAGACTTTGAGGCTGCCTCTTTAGTCCAACATGTCAAAGCACCATCTTGGAGTATCATTTCTGAGTCTCATCGACACCCTCCTGGAACCTGACTTGAAGGCCTGAACAAGGCAGGAAGTGGCTTGGGTGACTCAGTGGTCCTTTCTCCTGAGTCACCAAGTTGTCAGTTCCCAATCTCTGCTGGTTCCATGGGACATTTCTTCAGTCAATCAGTCAGCACTTGTGTTTCAGACCTTGTTCCGGAAGTGAGGTGGCTGGGGAAGGTCTGACTATGGAATGGGTGGGTGGCAAGATTGAGTGGTTCTACATGGAGAGTGGCTCACCCATCAGTCCCTTCTCTGCAGCTGTCCTGTGACATCTCACACACTTGCTTCAGGGCTTCCCTGGAGGTGGTCCCACCTAAAAGCAGAATTTCACAGCTGAATGTCCCTGCCTCAGGTTTATTTGTACAAACAACACTGGAGGACACCAGCCCCATGCAGACGGCACCCCAGGAGTGACATTAATCCTTCTGTCCTCCCATTGACAGACAGGGGCATTTACTGTGGAGCCTGCCAGAGGGCCTGGTCACCACTGGGTGCCTGAGTGAACCAAGCTGGAGCTGTAACCTGGGTCTGGGCCCTGCCCTTAGTCTTTGGCTGGCAGAGCCTGAACCCCTCAGCAGTGTGGGAGCAAGCACACTTCCAGAGCCCAGGGAGGGAAGCAAGTGGATGGAGCTTGCAGCTGACACACCTTGGGGTGTTGGCCTTTAGGCGGCCTCGATAGCCTTAGCACATGCACTTCTGGCCCTGGCCTGGTGGCCTGCAGCCTTCTCAGGCCTCATTGGACTTGGCAAAACTCTGTTCCTCAGGAACTTGAGGTGCAACCCCTAACAGATTTATGTCTTTGTGACTGGGGTTTCTTGATGTCATTTCTATTCGGGACTGGTGTAAGTACTGTTTTTTAGACAGGGCCATGTCTTCTGTAATCGGGCTCCTGAAGCGCTTGGGACCAAAAGAAGAATGAGGGAATATTTAAGGCCTGGTTAATTCAACCTTCTTAAAACTATATGTATAGGAAACTAAGACCAGAGAAGTGAAGGAACAAAGGTACTTGTGATAAAATGAGGTCTGGAATTCCGACCTTTTAGCTCCAAATCCAGAGCTCTTTCCACTACATGAAATGATGCCCTGCAGACCCCATACCCTCCTTCCTCTGGTTCCTGAAATTGCCCTCTCACCAGCTTTGTATTTCAGGCATGGGACCACTTTTTTCTTCTGGGTAACATACATTACCCAAGGAATCTTCAGGTAAATTCCAGCCACCAAATGCTAATGATAACAGCAACAATACACCTTCAAAAGATATGTATCAAGTACCCAATAAATGCCAGTCTCTGTCTTGGTTTGGGGGAGATCTGAAGAACGGAGAGAAGATATCAACCTGTGGGGAATTTACATTCTCGAGGAGGTGAGACAGACAATAAATAAAAAAATTTTTAAAAAGATAAATAGATGCTAGTGTTACAGAAAACCAGCAGGATAATGAGTTAGAGGTGAGTGAATTGGAGAGCACGTGGGTAGGAAAGACTTCTGATACCGTGATATTTAAGCTGAGCCCTGGTTGGTGGAGAACCAGCAACTCCAGGAAATCAAGACAGCAGGGGCCTTAAGTAGGGACAAACAGCTGAGAAAGAGCAGGGAAGCATGTGGCCCACTGTAGAGGGAGCAGTGGAGAGAGAGGAAATACCCATGATAGGGGGTACTGAGGCTGCATTACCCAAGGCCTTGCCTTAGAGGACTCTTGGAGATCTTCATCTTTGAGCAGAGACATGGGAAGCTCCTAAGTAATAGGTCAGATTTCCATTTGGAGGAGATCGGTCCAACTGCTTGACTACAGAACAGATGTTCTGGGTTGAGAATGTAATAATGAAGATGTTTTATTAAATCCACTGTCTGTAGGGTTCTATGTACATCTGAGCTCTAACCCTCTCACCACTGCTAACTAGATCTTATCAAGCTCATTCAGTGGACAGGAAAACAGACAAGGAGACTGGAAGGGATACAGGAACTTGCCCAAGGTTGCACAGCCAAATTTGAACCTAGGACTATCTGACCCCATGTAGCATGTGGCCTCCAAAGATTGTTGACTACTCCTAAGTCCCTGTTGAATCTGTGGCTCTCTCCACCCAGCACTCTCTATCCAGTTTATGTGTATTGAGTAGATTTCCCCTTTTAAGTTTCCATGTTAGTTTGGTAAATTTCTCAAGTCTGTTTTGTACCATGCTGGGTTGTGAGGGTGGGGAGCCTACATGAAGCTTCCTCCTGGGACTTGTGTGTTAGCTTTCCGTTATGGTAACAAACACCTGCGATGAACCCACTTAATAAGAAGAAAGCTTGATTTTGACTCCTAGTTTCATGGTTTCTGTCCATGGTCAGTTGGCCCAGTTGTATTTGGTCCTGTGGCAATGCCATACATCAAGGTGGAAATGTGAGACAGAGCAAACTGCTCACCACATCCAGCCTGGAAGCAGAGAGGGAGAGAGACAGACAGAAACAGAGACAGAGACACAGAGAGAGAGAGAGACAGAGACAGAAACATAGAGAGAGACATACAGACAGAGAGACAGAGACAAAGATAAAGACAGAGAGACAGCAAGACAGAGACAGAAAGAGATAAAGAGACAAAGACAGAGGCAGAGACACAGAGAGACAGAGACAGAGACAAAGGCAGAGAGACACACACAGAGAAAGAGATAGACAGAGACAGAGACAGGAAGCAGCAGGGCCCTATGTTCCCTTCAAGGGCATGCCCTAATGACATCACTTCCTTCCTCTAGGCTCCGCTTCTGAAAGACTCCAGCACCCAGCGGTACCACAGGCTGACTACCAAAGTCTCCACACATACACTTTGGAGGAACACTTACTACACTATAGCAACTCAGAAGTAAGTTTTCTTTCTGAAAATGAAATTAAACAAATCTATGAATCCACATGTGACAAGAAAAGACCTGATATCTTCAGGTCTGGAACAGCTACTTGACTAGCGTCTGATGTCTAAAGCAAGGCTAGGTTGAGCTCAAAGAGAAAGGCCATCCTTGCCTGACTGTTCAGCAGAATATGGCATGGGGGGCACAATACGTGGGGACTGGGGCTTTCTGGTTTCCAGAAACAACCCTCTGTGATGACGGGTTTGTTCGTTAAACCTCATCATGACCTGCGGGAAACAGCCCTCAAGCTAATCACTTGGTACTGAGAACAAACTCAAACGTTAACTTGGCTTCCTGGTTGTGTTCAGGGTCCCCTGGACAGGACAGGAGGCACAAACATTTCAGTCACTTTGAGAAAAAAAATGTTCTGTTTTCACTCCTGTGAATATTCCAAGAAAAATGTTACCAAGAAATATTGTCTTCCTGGGGGCGGGCCCTCTCAAAGCTGAGAAAGATTCAAGCCATCGCTATTTTTTTTTAAGGTTCAGGTATTTTAAAATTTGAGTACCTAGGGGTGTAGCTCAGTGGTAGAGCAAGTGCTTGCTATACACAAAGGCCCTCAGTTTGATACCTAGAATCAAAAACAAACAACAACAACCCCACAACTGAATGAATAAAAGTTAAAAGACAGTTATAAAAGATGTAGTCTATTTGAAGTGTTTTTCTTTTGAACCAATTGATACTTAAAACATAAAAATACAATGTGATATTATTGTGCTAGTGACAATATAATTATAAGACCTACAAAAATATTAATTCTGGTGCACCTTAAGCAGTGTGGTTGAAGAACGGGACATACGATTACAGGTGTGTGATAAGCATCTTCTGATCTTGCCATCTATAGCTGCGTAGATAACTTCATGCGTAAGACCAGCTGGAGATAATGTTAGAGGAGGTCTTATGCGGTGAGGCCCAAGGCCAAATGGCCATACTCAGAGATACAGGTGCAATGCAATGTCTGATTCTGTCAGCTAAGGCTTGGACTGTCACGAAGGTGACGAACCCATGGAGAATCAACCATACCCTGGTGAGACCCTGACCTTCAGATGTGACCCCCCTTAAAATATCACATCCCATCATTTTACATAGAGCAGCCCACAGTGGACACATTGAGTGTCCCTTAAGAAATTTATGGGCTGATGAATTAAGTCACTGATAACTAAGCTAGGACATTCAAGGTATCTTTCAAATATTCTATTTTAGAAGATGGGTCCATGACAAATCAATATGGGCTTGATGAGACAATAGACAGTGTGCAGGGAAGTGTTAGGGAGGACACTGCGTCTCACACACAGCTACACATGCTTCTGTTCTACTACGCCAAGTTTGGCTCATTTGCCTTCTGGGTCCCCTTTTCTCTCCAGGCTTTGTTTGATCACGACCCCTTAATTTCGAGCTTCTTAAGCTGTACCTTAAACCATTTATGGATCATGAAATCAAGTTGGTGGGTCGCAACCAACATCTCCTAAGCACAACAGAGTAGAATATATCTAAATACAGCACAGATAAATGAGATAAAATAAAAGTGGCAAAGTACTGTTTGGTGAAACTTGTTTCAATTGTGTATACAGGTGTGTATTGGGTTTAGATGTAAATTCCACTGTGTCCTGTAAATTGGAGATAAAGTTCTCAATCCACTGTTCTGGGGAGCAGATTAAGATGTCCCAGCCTTCTACAGACAGGTTACTACGACCATGTGCTTCTTAAGCAGATTCACTGTGGGTAATGCTTTGGTCTGAAAGCTTGTCCCTCCTGTCAATTCATGTGTTAAAATACTAAACCTAGTGGTGATGGTGTGAGGACCTGGAGACTTTGGAAGGTGATTATGTCATGAGGGTGCAGCCCTGAGGAATGGAATTAGTGCCCTGAAAACAGAGACCTGAGAGAGACCCCCTTGAATGACCAGCCATGTGAGAACATGGAAACAAGGTACATCTTATGAAACAGAAGCCAGGCTCTCACCAGACCCTGAATTTGCCAGCAGCTTGACCCATCTCCAGAGCTGTGAGAAGGAAATGTGTTATTTTTAAGCTACCTGCTTTATGGTAGTTGATGTTAGCAGCCTGAATGGACTAAGACAGTGACCTAATGCTAGGGCCCTCCCGGGCCTTCTATAGATTGACCTGCTGTGTAGTCCCTCAACATCTCAGATATTCTCTCATCTAAAATCCTGTTTTACAGGTAAAAAGGCTGAGTCCGGGAAAAAGGATACAAGTTAATAATAGAACCAGGCCTCTGATTATAGTTTCCCTGATTCCCCTTCCAGGGCTTTTTATTTTATTTCATTATTTTATTTTATTTTATTTTATTTTATTTTTTGGTGTGGTCTTCTATTATAATACGGCAAATAATGGCAGAGAAGATTTGAATTTACGTCAGAAAACTTGGATTTTAGTTCCAAACCTATCACTTCTTACCTGTGTGATCTTATGTTCAAAAATCCTAACCTTCCTGCTGCTCAGTTGTATCCAATATAAAACAGTAGAACAGTGGTAGGGAACAACCGAATGAATCTATTTAATAGAATATCTTGAAATGTGAGACATTATACATAGGTTCTGATGATTAATTTTTGCTCTTGGAGTATTCATGGCATTTTTTTCAATAAATATATATTTTTTAATTTTAAAGTTTAAATAAAGGTATTTATCTATTTACTTACTTTGAGACAAGTTCTTGCTATGCAGTTCTAGGTGGCTTTGAACTCACTATGTGGCCCAGGCTGCCCTTGAACTCATGGAGATCCCTCTGCTTCAACCTCCCGAGTGCTGGAATTACAGGCGTGTGCCACCACACCCAGCAAGAAATATGTATTACTTTGAGAAGGAAGTCATATAATCAAGGCTCACCCTCTTCAGAGTATTCACTAGCACTTTCCAGGAGTGGATGTTATTTCACCCCAGCATCTCCTTCTATCCTCAGAGCCCTCATAGTGGCCTACAGGAGTCACTTAGATTAAAGTCACTTAGTCCAACAGCATCACATCACCCTGCACCCTGCACCTCCAGAGCACAGTGGTGGTTCCTGGGAGCAGCGTACCACTGGTGTTTTTCTCCTCCTCCATCTTGGCTTCTGTCAGCAGCCTCGTCGGCCTGTGTAGAGCATCCTGTTCACAGGATGCCCTAAGACAAGGGATGACCCAGCGATGGCACTGCTGAACTCTACCTGCTCTCGTGGGAACTCAGCCTTCCCAACAGTCTCCCCTAGTTATTCCTGAGTTCCGCGGCAAGCCGGATTCCACACTGGCGTGGGCAATTCCTTCTCCTCTCTGTACTGAGCCCCCAGAGCAGGAAGAACCTGGGTGCAGAATATCCTGAAGCTTCACAGGAAACAGATTCTTTTCCTTCTGATTTTATACCAAAATTTCCCCCCAGCCACCATGCTCACAGAGCCAACCCATCCACACACATGGATTCCCAAGGAGGAGGAATCTAATTATTTATGAAACTGGTGTTAACTTCTAGTTGCTCTGAAGATCTGCATCCACTCCCATGCCCGCAGGCCAGCTCGTGGCCCAGGCCTTCTTTGTTGCTTTCAAACTGTGATTCTTGTTTGAGTTTCAGGGATTTTAAAAAATGTGATAGCTGACCTGCAATGCCGTAGCTTTGGCTACTATGAAGGAGCTGTTCTTGAACCCCCCTAACCACACCTTCCCCTCTTTGCCATTAATGCACAGCATGACTTCCTGCCCTTTATGGTGTTTCCTGAGCTTCCAGTAACTGTCTGATTCTGCTTGATTAGAGAAAGAGGGGGAGCTATAGTTTCCTACAAAGCCTTGCCCAACACCTTCTAGGATCAAGCATAAAGCACTCAATTTTCTTGATCTGTACCTTTCAATCCAAAACTGTTATTTGCATAGAACTCAAGGCATCACCCAAAGCACCAAGGCCCAAGACCAGTTGAGCCTTTCTGGACTTATCAAGCTGATATCATGCAGGAAGTGGTTTTGACTGGTGACTGGCCATTCAGGATGGGTCCTATTTTGTACATGGAAATGACGGCGGTGCCATAGCTTTTGGAATTGTGACATCAATGATGTACTTACTCTCCTTTGCCTTCTCATGGTACAGTGTGGATACGGTGTGGGTCTGGGAGTATAGGGTGTTAATAAATTATAATCAATTTTTCAATGCAAAAATATGAAGTCTGGTTTTAGTTTTAATTTCCCCAAAGGTCAATGTTCTCCCTCCTGGTGATTGTTCATATGTCTCAATTAGTGTTGTAAAACATCATTTACAAAACTTTGTTGTAAGCGATTCCTTTAATTATTGACTATTGTCATAGCTCACTGTTGTGTAAATTTGAATAAGAAATTCCTAACTGATTGGCTTAGCATAGTTCTGGGTGTGACTACAGGGATTTACTGAAGACAGCAGACTCACTGTGCCTGTGGGTGGCACCAACCAATACGCTTTTAGCCTGGATGGAATGAAAAGGGAAAGGAAGGAATTCTTGCTGCTGTTTCTTCAGAAGAACTCCGCTCTTCACCTTCACTTGGATGTCCATCTCCAGGCTTCTAGCACTGACTCCAGCCTTCCAGCAAAGGCCCTTTAGCTTCCTGACACAGACTGGCACTGAACTCTACCATGAGCTCTTGACCTTTGACTTTTGACTGGATCCTTTGGCTCTCTAGCACGCAGACAGGTTTTCTGTTCTCTTTCATACCTGACTGCAGCCATTGTAAACCTGCCGTGTAAATTCATAATCTTGTGAGCACTGACTGATATTTTGGTACTAGAAGTGGCTTTGGAGAAACAGATTGTAAAGATGCACTCTTTAATGACTTTGGTGGTTCTTGGGGTGGCTCTCTAATTTGATGAGACCTATAGATGCCATGATCTCTCCTTCTGGTAATGTGTAGAGGTGCAGAGTACTGATAGTCCATGATGTGAACTGCTTAAAGTTATACGCAATGTAGATCCATTGGATTATCCTAATTTGCCACCTGTGAGAGGCAAGGAATTTAGTGATGACATAGATGATACTTTCAAATATTTT